TAACATTCTGTGATTCTGTGAAAATTTTGTTATCATCTTTGTTATTAAAGTGGGGCTGGCAAAGGATGAGCTCTGCTCTGAAACATGCAAAGTCTGAGAAAAGCTGAATCCTCCTTTCTTTGCAAGTCTAAATTTAATCATTAGATTTATGAATATCTACCACACGGTTTCATTTTAGAGCATGGTTAAATGGAATCTTGTTGGCCTTTGTTTTTTTTAGTAAGCTGAAGTGGCTAAATCCAATTGAGGTGTTTTAGACTATTTGAAATAAACGGGAATCCTTCATTGGAGGGTCTAGATTGTAGTGATTTCTTTACAACTAAACGAAGTGTAAGTGTACACACACATGTACATGTGTATATATATTTACCCACATGTATTTTAATACAACTGTTAGTATTTAGAAAGGTGCATATGCATACACAAGTATTGTTATTATTTTTTCCCTTGCAAAATTGTGCTCTGACTTACTAATTTAGAATTTTAATTGGATAGCAGTAAAATGCTAGTAGAGTGGAGTGATTACCTCAGGTTTCTGTTTTGTGCTTCTGGAAAGCTAATGCTTTGGTCTTTCTTTCAGTCATCAGCCTATTACAAGACGTTACAGGAAGTGTTCAAATTCCTACTTTCTCCATGGTGGTCAAGATCTATTTTTAATATTTGTTGTCCTCCATCATTGCCTTATCTAGATGTTGGAATAAGTGATAGGAACCTTCACTATGTGGCTTCTTCTGGTTTCTTAAACTGTATTGTCAGCAACTTTTGTCTCAGCTGGTTTCCTTTTTAAGACACAGAATCAATAGTTATTCAGAAGTGATATCTTTGTTCTTCACAGGAGAACGTAACCAGTTTTAGATGACTGTCATCGAGTGAAATGTTTTATATTAATGTCATTTACTCTCTTAGTTCATTTTGGATATATCATTACAAAAGACGAATTTAAACATGCAGAAGAAGTATTCCATTGGATACTATTAGAAGTTAACAAGCAGAAGAATATAGAAGGAACTATCTCAGTAGCTCCTGTAAATAGTTTTTATGTTTTTATATTGCACCAAAAAAGATCTTAACAAAATAAGATAATAGCTTTATTACTAACATTGAGTCATAGTTATAATTTAATTGCCCATTTGTGTCACTTTCTAGATGCCTAAGCTGCTCTTGTGAATGAAGCTATTGTATAAAAACATCCCTTGGTGTTATGATGCACTTCATTCATTCCAGTTCCATTTTCCCTGATAGAGATAGTGGTGTCAGTCTTGAAGGATTATGATTTCTCCATGTTCTGATCTCCCACTTTCAACACTTTTTATTGAATGTCATGTATATTCCTTGGCTTGAAAAAAAATTGTGGCATTCTCTGTACTTGTTGAAAATAAATTGCTCTGAATTACCAAGATGGAACATATCTGTTGTAGCCATTGCTTCATGTAAAGGCATATTGAGTTGCATAAGGTTGCTCCACCTTTGAGAAGCTCTTGCCCACACAAGCTGTAATCTCAGCAGGAGCTGAAAAGCCCTTTCATTCATGGGGTGAGGCTGTGCCCCTGTAAGAGAGGCAACAGCTGCTGTGTCTCTGTTCCTGCTGTGTTCTGAATTTACCTGAGAGCTTCTGTGACTCATAAGAGAGATGCTGACTGCTGCTTGGAACCATACTTTCATATTTTTTCCTCTACTTCGAATATAGAAGATAAGAATAATCAATGCTCTCTTTAAAGAGAATAAAATGGTTTGTGCATGGTTTAATGTGTGTAGTGTTTTCTGTATGAAAATGGATTTCAGAGATGCTTTCTGTGTTGCTGGAGAATGTACTCATCAGTGTTACAAAATTTGGATGTATAGCATTTCAGTTGCTATATTCAACTTAACTACGTTCTGAATACTGTATATATGAAAAAGTTGGACCTAGAAGCTTTTGAATTTTTTACTTAGCATAAATTAAGGTAGCATCTGTATTTAGGAGGCACAGTGACCATTTTTGTACCTGTTCCTTCTTGTTTCAGCAGAAGGATTCCTCCACAGAGGAGTCAGAAAGCTCAGGTGATGAAGAGAAACAGGAAGTAACATCAAATTTCAAAGAGGAAGCTAAGGTCACAAGAGACCTTTGTCAAAATACCCAGAAGCCATCCAGAAATGAAACTCCCAGTAAAAAGTAAGCACATTGTGGACATTTGTTTATAAACTGCTAGACCTTTTCATACATATTTATGTTTCTGCTTTTATAACAATGTAAAAATAATTTCTTCAGAGAAATTTAGGGTTCTGTTTTGAACTGCTTAATAGTTGTTTATTTTTCTAGGGAATGTCCTACCTCGACAAGTACAGAAGAAGAAGCTATTCAGGGCATGCTTTCTATGGCAGGATTGCACTATACTACATGTTTACCAGGTCATACTCAAAGCACAGAGTGCACAGAAAAAAGAACCTCTCTTCAGGAACACAGAAGCTACCCCAGGAGTCGACATAAAGACAGACAGACATCTCAGAGTCACAAAACAATAGAATGTGGTAGGTATCTGAACTAATGACACTACTGCTCTCTGCCCTTGGATATACTGTTCAGAATAAGCACTTAAAGTTAAATTTTTAGATTTGTAGTCAAGTTTTTAAGTAAATCAGACAGTCATTTAGAAAGATGTATTATTTATTTGATTTTTTTTTTTTAATAAAGTAAATATTGCTTCTGAAAACTGGGACAAACTTAGTTTGAGAGGTCATCAGAATACATATTCCCATCTGAAAGTTCTGTGGCATCCTTACAAGAGTGGCCAAGTTATGGTTAGATTGAAAGTGTAGTCTCCTTATTGAAAGTATAATCTTCTTCAGAAAAGATTGAAAGAACCTTCATGATTGCAGCTTTCATGGTGTGTATATTACTTAGATATCTATAGGAATCTGCTTGGTGATTTTTCGTGTGTCTTTGGAAGGCATATTTGGCTTTACTTCTGAAAATTCTGCTATGAACGCAGTGCGTTGAAGGAGATTCTAATCCTGAAGAGGAGAATTCAGAGGTAATATTTGCCAGTGGCATTTTGATGTCTGTGGAGAATGGACATCTGTTAAATACATTTCGGGAATGACAGATAGCAGAACATTAATCCTAATCCCTTCAAAGAAATCAAAATCACTTATTGGAACAGAGAGAGTAATTATGTTTGAAATTTTTTGCTTGAGAAGGAAATGGAAGAGGATTATAGCTTTGCTGATGTGAAGCGAGTAGAACCACACCAACAAATAGGGTGCTAATTCAAAGAACTAGTAGTGTGTTGATTTTTGTTTACATGGATATCAGGAAAGTCTAATGTGATGTCATGGACTGTGTTCAGGTGATTGAAGCTGTGTATTCTTAAAACCCACCAACCAGCCAACCAAATAAATAAATAAACCAACCACCACCACTAAAAAACCCTAACCAGCAAACCACACACACACATACAGCGCTTTTCCATCTTTCTCACTTGATGAAAAACATAATATCCAGGTTTCTAAATTGTGGTGGGTTGACTCAGGCCAGCAGCTAAGCACCCACACAGCCACTTGTTTTCTCCCCCCGCCCTGTGGGATGGGGGAGAGAATAGAAAGAGCAAAAGTGAGGAAGATTCATCAGTTGACATAAAGACAGTTTAGTAAATGAAGGAAAGAGGAAAAGAAGCAAGTAGTGCAAAGGCACCTTCTGCAAGCAGACTGATGCCCAGCCAGTCTCTGAGCAATGACTACCTTGGAAGACTGCCTTTTCCCCCCAGCCTCTTCCTCTACCCTAGTTTTCATTGCCAAGCATGACATAATATGGGATGGATTATCCCTTTGGCCAATGCAAGTCAGCTGTCTTGGCTGTATCCCCTCCCAATCTCTTGACTGCCCCAGCCTGCTTACTGCAGGGGACAGAGTGGGAAAAGAGAAGGCTGTGACACTGTGCAAGCACTGTTCAGCAACAGCCAAAACTTTAGTGTGTTATCAACACTGTTTTAGCCAGGAATCTAAAATACAGCACCATATGGACTGTAAGGAAAAAGATCTGTTACATGTATCCAGCTCTATGGATGAAGAAGATGAAACTACATATTACCTAACAGGTTTTGCAAAATCTTTGTCTCTCCAAATTCGGATTGAATTGGTGTCTGGGATACCCATAATTTTACAAGTTAACTGTATTGTAAATGTGTTTTCAATGTGGACACTTCTTCTGTAAGGCCAGTCAGCATAGAACTTCCATATGTTGTGCCTGAATAGCACATCAGTGCTTAAAGAAAATACGATAAATAATATCTGAAATAGCTGTAGCATAACAAAGAGAGTAAGCTGTCTTCAGCGTCAGTACTTTCACATTTGAACAATTATATTTGTCTGACCTTTTTACTGTGGTATATGGATCTTTAGGTGTATTTATACTGTGTAATTGTTTTCCCAATTTAGTGTGTAGAACCAAGCAGCTCTGACAACTTCTGTTTTTTATCTAGGAAATATTTTCCATTTTATTTTCCTTTCTTTCTTGTTTTAATTTTAAACTTATTCAAATGTATAATTAACTTTGTATTCCTAGTTTTTGATTTTAAAATTTAATCTCGTTGAACTTCTCTTTAGGTAGGTCTGTGAAGGAAGAGGAAAGAGACTTGGGGACTTCAGCATGGGCTAGACACCTGAATGAAGCTTCGAGGATTATCCCTCAGGTAAAACCAATACTTCAAATGTTTCGAACACACAAAAATTTATAGGAAAAAGTGATTGTGAAGTTGTAAGTACAGAAGGCATGGTGGACAGGTCTTTCCATACTGCATAGCTGATAATAGATACTTCTCATGCTGGTAACTAAGCATTATGTTTTTGTCATGCTTTTTTACACTGTTGGTTTGAATTTTTTTTTTTTTTTTTCCCCCCTCTCAAGCTCTCTTTTGTCATGATGGCTAGTATTAAGATACTTGGGGCAGTATCTTAAAAAGACTAAAAATACTTTACAAAAAACCTGTGAATTTACATTCAGTCTAACTGGGGAAGCACTGTATTGTTTATTAATTGTTATTCCCAACCAGAGCATCAGAACAAGTGGAACCTGTTGATAGTATTTATAGTAAAGATACTTGCTTGGGAAATTGGTACTGTCAAACTGATACAACCTTTCAACAGCCAGCAGCTGTTTTGACAGTTGACGGGGTTAGCACAAAGGACACAGGCACCAAATTAAAGAAGTAAACTTATTTTTACTTCTGTTTAAAGTGATAAAATAATGAGGAAAATAATACAGTGAAAATGAATTAAAGCAAGATAAGGTAAAGCAGCAAAATAATAAGCGAACTACTATAGCAAGCATAAAATAAGGTAATGCACCTAATCTTTACTGCATAGTTATCAACAGTGATTAAGATACATCACCAATTGCCCTAATATATTACTTTACCATCATCCAGATCCGCAGTCGCTGGGAAACCCGGTTGCAGCGAGGATCTGGAGAACCCTTCCCAGCAGCTGGGAAATCTCTATACAGTGCGTCCACTGTATAAATGAGGCTTCTAATTTTTCCTGCAAACGTTCCCTGCTTTTATACAGTTGAATAAACAACTTTATATCTTAAACTGCAAAAGAAGCATCTGGTGTGGTTTTCTCCTTGTTAACTTCTGTCTCACGCTTGGCTGGAGCAGGAGAGGGAAGATAAGAACAAAAGAGTTTGGAATCTTGATTATATATTTCTCAACAAAGTCTGTCATGACTTTGTCACATTCTTTTACTTAGAGGCTTATCTGTTTTTGACAACTGAGGCTACTGTTACACAATTAGTATCTTTCTGCTGACTAACTTTACACAGCAAGCATTACAGCAAAGCTCTGTAAGCGTTACAACAAAGCTTTCATAAATTGGCATATATTCATAAGGTAATACATTGCATATGTGATAAGTATTATACCTATTAGATGTATTGTTAAGTTGTGAGGTTCATCTAGAGGTCAACTTTGGTTCAGGGCCTCACTGCTCAGGCCCTACTATTTCAGGAGGTGGGAATATTTTTACTTTCTGACGTCTAGGTGGAGTCCAGCAAGGAATACATAAATAAAAGGTTGTATGTCTTACATGCTGAACTTTTTTAGTATTTCTAAACTTGTCTATATTAGAAGTATTAGAACAATTAAACAATTAAATAGAAAAATTAAAGTTGCAAAACAACAGTGTATTCTAACTGTGTGCTTTTTAGGGTTTTTTTTGTAAGAATATCTAATGACATGATACTCCTCACAGTTTGTAATTCCCAATTTAGCATTTGTTTTCCCATCAGCTGAATATTGAAAAAAAAATTGCGTATTTATGTAGTCAATGGTTATGGCATGGCTTGCTATAGTGACCAGTTTAATCAAAAGCAGTTGAGTTTGTTTTGATCACTGCAAATTAAAACAAAAAAACAGAAATTGAGTACACTAGTACGTGCAATTAATCTATAGCATTGCCCTTAAGTGCATGTGGAAAAGCTTGCACAGAGATAATATACTGTATCTTATTTTTAAGAGAGATCTATACTAAAAGAAATAATGGAATCATAAAGTGATAAGACACTGGTGGAACTGAAATATCTTTTTCAGAGTTACAGTAGTATAATTAGAAAAACTGGAGTGAACTTGTAGCCAGAAGGTATCAACTTCCACTTTTATTATTCTTTTCATTTCCATACTAGGATACAAGTAAAACTCAAAAATGTGTCAAGAAAGAGAGTGCATCAGAAGCCAGTCATAAGATTCAGGAAAACAGAAGTGTAGTCCACAACAATGGCTTGAGTTTTCAGCATGGCAAGTATACACGAGACTCCAGTCTAATTCAAGGAGAATGTCAGCTGAGTGATGGCAGCCTTAGCCCTGACAGGCCGTATGGTGAAACGTCCTTGTCTGTACCACTTCATCCAACAAAGAGGCCAGCAGCAAATCCACCTCCTATCAGCAACCAGGCGACAAAAGGTAATGTTTATCTTTGTTGTTCTCTTGAGTGAAGAAAAAAAGAAAAAGACTAAGAAAAGGAGCTTGTAAACATCAAAAAGAGCTCTTAGATGCAGAAACTGAAAAAAGGACAGACTTAGACCTTGAGGAAAGATATAAAATGGGCATCCTGTGGACACTCAAATTTTGATACAGAATGTGTGGAGGTGGAATTATGAGAGATCTAACTGGGTGTGTGGCCAGATGAAACTGTCATAGACCTGCAGAGATGCAATAGTAACTATCTGTTATGCATTTATTACAGGGAACAGAACCACAACTGTATTCTGAAACACTGTCCTGAATCAGATTTATATATCAAAGTGAAGGTTTAAAAGCTGTGACACTTCAAAAAATAGTCTGATTATCATAATATTTAATATTTAGTTTCTAGTTTATTTTCTATAATTAACTTACTTGAGCAAAATTCAGGAAGCTCAGTTTAGGTTCTCCCCTACCACACCAAGTGCCCTTCCCTGGACTGGAAATGTTTGTAGATAAAATAATCACTTTATTTATGATTATGCTAGCCAGAGTTTAGGGAAAACGATTCCCATTTTTTTACAATTCCGATTGCCTGTTTACTCCCAAATAGACAAATAAAAAGCTTTATTTATTATTTTTTTAAACTGACTCAGGTGAAAATTTTGCCTGCTTCATCTTGAAAGCTGGATTTAGTCTTTGTTCTGCAATAACAAAAACGTGTTCTGAAATTCCTTACTTGATTTCATTTTTCAGGCAAACGTCCAAAGAAAGGAATGGCAACTGCTAAACAACGCCTTGGGAAGATCTTGAAGCTGAACCGGAATGGCCACGCGCGCTTCTTTGTTTAATGTAGCTGCTACTTCGACTACTGCTGTCTTTCCTACACAGACCAGTATTGAGGTCAACACAGCCTGGAGCTGCTGTTATTCCTCTGCTTGAAGCAGACTTGCATGTACCATATGAAACACTGCCTGATGAACAAAAACGAGAAAAAAAAAAAAAAAAAACAACCCAATGCTGCATTTTCACTGTGCCACACCTGCTCAGCAATAACCATATGGGAATGGGGAAATCTTCAGAGAGACATGGACTGTGAGAAATCGTCTCTCATCAGGGCTTGAATATCATTTGTTGCTGGTAGTTTCTGACTTAATTGATGAGGGGAAGATGATGAAGGTGGTTTATCAATAATTTATTTCTGATAGATTTTGACAAGTTTTAAATTCATTTTAAAAACCTATTTATTTGGAAGACTTTTTTGTGGGGGTTATTAATTTAGATTTAAGAGTGTGAAAGTTTTTAATTGTTTTGATAATATGTGTTTGGTGCAGTGGAGAGCCACATTAATTGTGAGTAGTCTGGACTCCTAAATTTGATATTCAGGTTATAGTCTTAAATAGGGGTGAGATGCATTATTAATTATTTTTTAAATTAAGGCATATGGAATCTTATTTTTTTCTGCTTTTTGTAAGCTATTGGCTGGGCTTCTGTTGACTTGCAAGTTGCGTATTCTCTGCCAGCTTGATTATTTTTTGACCTGTGCTCTTTCATACAGATGTATTTATTTGGTGGACTAGAAGAGACTCCTAAAGACAGAAGAATCTTCTTATGTCAATCCAGTAGCTAACTTGTTTTAAACTGCACCCCTTTCCTCCAAATTGGAGTGCATACTTTTCCTCCTGATGATCTGTCTGTGATGATTTTCGTTTGTAAAAAGGCTCCCTGAAATTGTACAGGTTATTTAAGAGTTGATACAAAGGAGAGAAACCTAACATATCTTTTTGGAGGAACAGGGACATCAGTTAAAATAAAAGTTTCTTCTGAAATAATTCATAAGATATACATTGCAGTCTTAAGATTTGGCATATTTCTTAATGTAGCATGGAAGAAGCATTAAAATATTATTGTACTTTAAACACATTTTACTTAAGAGTCAGGAAGGCAGGAGAATGTGTGTTGCTTTCAAAGCTGGGGGAGACAGCCAATGAAAAGTCTTATCTGGTGCATATATAAGCATTAAGTAGCTTACTGGTTTCGGAATGATCATTTGTGTCAGGCTTCATCCAGAGCTGATAGCAAATGCCGATTCCGAATTATTGTAAATAATTTTGATTTAAAATCTGTATTTTTCTGTAATATAAAATAAATATTTAACTTCTAGGGGACGGGAATGAAGGCGGAAAGGGGAATACTTTTACTTGATTCTGGAAAAAGGGCATTTTGCAGGGTCCAGCCAAAATGAAAACATTAATATGCTAGTGAAAACCATATTGTTGGTTGGTTGGAGTTTTTTTTTTGGTTGCTAAGAGTAAAAATACTCAGGCATGGCTATCCAAGTCATTGAATTGATTTAACTTGCCATACCAGTTTTTCCTTCCTCCATATTCTATACTGGAATCATTTTCTGTTGTTGTGGTTTAAAAAAAACTTCAGTTGGACTTTCCAGAATATTTGTGGAGAGTTATTTTTATCTAGGCTAGATTATTAATGCCTTCACAAATTTATGGAAATAGTTCTGCTGTCAGGTGTTTTTGATTGTTGCAGGGTCAAAACTATTTAGCCCTATGTTGTCCTGTTTCTAAACTGAGAAACATCAAAACATAATGCAACTGTGAATAAGTCAGGTAGCTTTCATGGCTTTACTGCCTCTTGGAGCTTGAAAGTTTTAATTTAGGAGTGGTTTTTGCAACCTTGCTTTTACATTGTATTGACTTTATAGTTTGTGTGTGTGTGTATGGGTGAATTTTTTTAACCTTTTATTTGTTTGCTAATTATGGTTTCACAAAAGTATGTTTTCAGTCTTTTTAATTTTTTTTTAATTTAATGCAAGCTATAAACATTGCTTAGACTATTGGGAAAGGAGGTAACAAAGGATTTCTAAAAAGCAGAAGATAAGCTAAAAGGTACTCTACAGGTGCTGAAAGTGGCTATCAAGTACTTGCTGTTCTCAGGTGCTATGTTTTCCAGATGGAAATAGTTAGAAGAGAATAGTTTAACCGTCTTCTAATATGTTCTCACCAAAGTCAAAGAAATAAACTATGTTGTCAATATCAGTTGCAAGTATATACCCATACAAATATTTTCCGTGCTTAATCTTGAAGAAATGAATTAATGCCTTCCCAAGCTTTAGAAACTGTTTTAACTTTAGCATATTGAACCAGACTGTTTCTTTCTTGCTGGCTGTGTAATTTTTAGGAATAGAAAATTCCAGTTTAGAGCAGCAATCAGATTCAGAGCAGAATGAAGATTGAGCTCTCTCTCCTTAAAGGCAGATTTTTGAGAACACTTATCTGAAATAGAAGTATGCCAGCATAGAATCTGGAGTAAGGAATTTTAAAATATGGGTTATGCGTTCTTCTACATGTGACTGGCGTATATAAAGTCTCTTTTCTGACCATTGGCATTATTTAGCTGTATCTTACTATTGGAACACAGATGTGGCTGGACCCATATATATTATTTCTTCTTGGTTTTATTCTTTCTTTACTTTCTGCCTTTTTTTTCAAAGTGGCTCTCCACTGTCATGAATTTCTATAGTAGTCTCTTCACAGGCTGTCAACAGGCAGAGGTTCATTCCCATTTTCTTCAAACATCCATGCTTCCAGCAGAAGTTAATTCTGACGTTCCACCTCAGAACAAGTAATGAAAAGAAAATGCCATGATGAACAATATTAAAAAAAAAACAAAAACCAAACCCACACCAAAAAAAAAACCAAAAACCCTGAAACAACAAAGGGGAAAAAAGAAGTCTCCTGGTAGCTCATGAAGAGGATGTGGTGACCTCACTTGTTTTGTGTACTTGTATGTGGTGATATTTTTATTGTGTTCTAGATGAAAACGCTACTGCACCAATCTTTCTGTAGATGGACTGAACTTTGTGTTGTTGTAGTGGAGAGAAAAAGCCCTATTTTTTTTCTTTGCTGTCTCACTTGGGGTGGAAGAGGAAGGGAGTAGGGAACACTGACTGGACAGCAAAGAGAATTAAGCCTGCTATGGTAACTGATTTTCAAGGATAATCTTTTTTGAAAGGTCAGAGAACTTTGATTTGGCATAAAACCTAGAGGTTTTTTTGTAGACAGAACAATAGGAAATTAAATATTATGGGGTTTTTCCCATTCTCTACATTCTTACGTTCCTGCAATTGGAAGAAGGAAAAAAAAAAAAAAAGAATCAAACATGAAAATGGAAAGACCACCTAGAAAATATATCAAAGACTCTTCCAGCAACTTTCCCTTTTCTTCTCCTACTATACTTGCTAATAAACCGTGGCTACAAGGTAGCCTTTGTTGACCTCTGAGGTAGATTACCTATGCAACCGATAATACTCTACATGAATCCATTCTTAAAGACAATTTTGAAAGGGTTAGATGTTGAGAGTTAAAATTGTTGCTTTATTGTCCCCAAACATGGGGGATTTTGAGGGTTTTGGTTTTTTGGTGGTTGGAGTGCTTTTGTTACCTTTAGTAGAAATACAAGAGAGCACATTGTCATGATCACATTTTACAAGCTTCAGCTTTCCCTAGGCTTTGCTATATGGCATAAGCTACCTTCATTCACAAGGCCATGAAGTTATAAATGTTGACAATTTTTGCAGGGTTTTGGAGTCAGAGCTGACGTGAATCTTGCTACCTGCTTTTTGGTAGCTGTGGAGACTAAGCAGAACTGAAGGTAGAAGGACCTGGTACCACAAGCCTATGACTCGTGCCCTATCTAGGCTCCACATGCCCACATATCCCTTCACACCCTCACCATGACCCCTAAATCTAGTGTCTTTCCAGAGTTTCATTCACATAACTTCCACACTTTCATTCACACACTTCCAGACCATTAAAAACTGTTTGTAGCTTTGAGGTTACGTGAGCCCAGAGCTACTCTTTCCCAGAAGAAATATAAATGGAACCCAGGGCCTTACTATTTGTGGTTAAACAAGATTAAAAGCTGCAACATCCATTTTTCCAAAAAAAAATAAAAAACAAACCACAAAACCCCACAACAAAAGCACCCTAATAACCCTCTTTGTGGGAGCGTATGAGTGATAAATCATGCAGTGGATGGGAAATACAAGTAGCACTGATAAGGAAATGCGCGTTTTTCATAGGCTGCATTTCTGTTTGGGAAAAAAAGACTTTTTCTACTTTTAATATAAATTAAGCCATAAGAGTTTCATGCTGTGGGAAGGGAATGAAAGGGATCACTTTAAGATATTATATTGATATGTATTGTCACTTCTGCTGGGAAATGTCTATTGCTGCCAATGCTTTGGTGAATTTTTTTTAAAAAAAAACCATGAAATTTGAAAAAAAGAAAAAGGGGAGGCTAGTTCTTGACTATATTTGCTAGTTTTGTAGTAATGTTTTGCTGGCCCTTTTGTCTTTTCCTTTCCTTTTTCTACTCTCATAGTCTAATTTCTATCTTTCCTTCTAATGCCTCTGAAAAATACTAGCTTGTCTGCTCTGTAGGGATCGGTGTGGTGTATGTGTGTCTTCCTTTTTACAGAAACGCACTACTGTGTTAAGTATTTGGCTGGGAAATGGGATGCTGCAGCTTTAAGAGCATTTTTTTTTTCAATTCATAACAGTATTTCCCATCCTCTTTTGCCTGCAGGCAGGGAAAGTGTATGTACAGTATTTATTTTGTCTTGATTTTACTTTAAATTTGTATGTTTCTATAAGTAGTTCACATTGATTATTCTAGGGGAGAACAAGTGGCTTTGTTTAAATTTGTATTTGATATTAATAGTTTCCACTTTCTGTACTTCAAAATACTGAAATTAAAAAATTGTATTGCTTATGTTTTGATTTTAGCACTCTAAAGTGTTTAATTTCTTCAGATTTCTGTTCATTTGCTTCAGTGTAAATACAGAAAACTGTACAGAATATTGTGAGGAGAAGAATGCTTTTCTAGGTCCAATCTCTGTGCCCTTTACTTGTCTCATTTTTAAGAAGAAATTTTCTGGAGTGAGATGTGAGATGGAATATTCTCATACTGTTTTTTCATTTTTCAAAGTGCAACTCTCATTTCAATGCAAGTATCTTTTATGGCAACTAAATGCATTTTGTGAACATGTGTATATACTTTTTGAATCCTAATACAAAAGGGAGGTGGAAGTGTTTGTGATCCGTCATATTAGCAGATCTAGAACTGTAAGAAGGGTGTCAAATGGTATTTTCATGTTATTGCTCTTGGTTTTTGTTCAGGTTTGTCTCACACTACTGATGAGTGACTCATCTCGATT